GATGAATGCATAAGTGGTGATTATGAGACTCATAATGGCTGCCATTTGTTCTCTATAACGGATACTGCTCACCATCAGGCAAGGCACGAGCTCGTTCTGATAATTGCACTTTTTCTGTGCCAAGTCCTCGGCTTTGTACTCATCGCCCACCACTTCTGAAGCATATTCAGCGCCACTGATCAATCTCTCGCATCTGGAAACACTTATTGAAATGAGAAACATTCTCATAAAGTTGTGTGTAGTAGGCTTGAAAATATTTCTAGGCATATTAGCACTGCACCACTGTTACTACACCAAGAACTCAAGAATTTTTTGTGAAACTTGTCACAGAGGTACACTCCTTATCCCTGAGCCAGAGTAGGCGTGGCATTTGAACATGGCACGGAACTGGTTACTCGTGGAATATTCCAGTCTGGGACAACTGTCATCTTGTTCTGTGTTGGACAGAGACACGACAACAGTTGTGTCAAGATGAAAATATCTCACCAGAAGCATAGACACCTTCAGGTTAAGTTGAAGCATGCAGCCACGCCTACCCGATCTCAGGGATTTCGAGTATAATTCAGTACCCCCAGGAATATGTTAGTGATTTCTGGCGCTAGCGCTCTTTGCCGCCATCACCTGTCTCACCAGTAGAGATTAAACTTGTATGCGAGGGTTATTTGACATCCTGTTCACGAGTAAAACATTCATTCTTGGCACCGGTACCAAAAAAGGCCACCCTGATTATCTGTGCTCTGCTAGTGCTGAGCCCGCTGGAGAGAGAATCACTCTCTCAGACTCAGCCTTAGCAGAGCGTTGAACTCCGCTGGTGAGTGAATAGTGAATGTCATTTTCGTGATCAGAGTCGATCGTATTGTGCAGCTTTCCAACGATTCTGGTGAAAGAGGTTGTCGCACCAAATCGGCGTCATTTGGCACGACCACCTTCTTTCCTGTTTAGATTAGGGTTGAAACAGCATGGAAAACCAGCGAAAATTTCTATGGCATCAGGGTTAAAAATAGAATAATTGACCCGCTCTTAAATGAAAAAAGCGAAGGAAAGAGTAGAATTTGCTTGAAATCAGGCTTTCCCTATGCTGAGCGAAGACAAAAAGTCGATGTGGTTCTCGGATGAGAGGCCAGACAAGAGAGGCGAGAGAGCACGCAAACGAGTAAGACAAACGATAAGATATCTATCAACGTGGGCGGAGTCACTTGTACAACCTTGTGCCTTACCGCCGCTACCTTACAACTTTTTGACGCGAAACTTACACAGGGTTCTTCGTTGCGCTTCACACTATCTTTCCCTCCGAAGGACTCAGAGAATTCTTATTGGTGATCGTGGGCCGTGCCTTTAAGTCTCATAGATTCTGCGATGAATAAGAAGACGCTCAGGAATCGGGCCTTTCCGATCAGACTACAAACATTAGTCTCTGGAAGTTGGTATGTAAGGAGTATGGATCATCCGAGTGAGACTTCCAAGGCTTCCACATTCTCCTATAAATGCGTGTACAGTCCTGATCCCTCTCAACGATAGGTGTGCGGCTGAGCGTGAATAGGAGCGCTGTCAGAGAGCTATTTTTCAGTGATGCCGTCTTCGTTTGCAGCAATTGGCGAGAAAAGATGTTCTGGCTCCGCTCCAATTCATGACTCTTCACACGCTCCATCGTTTGCGGAGATGATGACTATATTTGAATGCGAAACAACCATTGTCCTATAGGTTACAGGGCTCTTGTCAACCGGACATGCTCTCGCTGCGAGTGTCTAGAGGTATTTTCTCATGGCATCTACTAGCCCAGCAGTTGAAGGGAGAAGGGAAAGGAGGAGGAAGGAGAGAAGAAAGGAAGGAAAACAAGGAAAGCGAAAGAAAAAGTAGAGAGAAGGGAGGCTCCGCGGTTGATAGGTGTTCTTTTCCCTACACGTCTAGTGTAATCAGCGCTTTGGAGAATATGAAAATTAGAGTTGAGAGTTAATAAACCTTTCTGAAAAGTCCAGACAACGAACCTCAAATAGCTCACGAGGTTCTCCAAACTCCAACCAGGAGTCCCATGTCGATGAATGGCCCATCCGGCGGTGACTGATCCACTCATAATAATCGCCTGTTGTGCTAGCCCTAGGATGGCATATTGACAGAAAAATACCAAAAAGCACTCATTGACCAGAGACGACGCTGCAAACCTTCAGTTCTAGGGCTGAGCGCTAATAAACTGCATGCAGCACCACCAGCTGACTCGCCCATCAGTGTGACTCGAGAAGGATCACCACCAAATTGTTTTATATTTGCCTGAATCCATTGAAGGGCCATTACCTGGTCCCAGATACCGAAATTGGCCTCTACTTGATTGTC